CATACAAATAAACAATCCTGAAGTTTAAGTACAGAAAGGCACACACTGCATATAAGTGAAATTCGAAATTTTCTGTAAGAGTACTTCATGGAAGACAGTGTTGATATAAGTTCAAATACTTAGATCTTGGGCTTACCGAGTACCAATATGCTGTAATTAGTTTGACAGATTATTAAGGGGAATTTACACAAGCACCTCATAAGATGAAGATGTTTGGAACATTTTGAGATATACATGTATAAAAGTCTGTAACATGAAATTTAAGTCGAATCCAGCTGCAGGTACATGTTAGGGAAAAAATCACCACTTAACAGGAGGCAAACCAGACATTATGACAATTATTACGTACATTTATGCATTTAGTGAGAGATTTAAGTCACTCTTCTCAGAATACATGCCCTGATGCATAATGGGAATCAGGTTGAGAGAATTTGTTCTTCCTGACCACTCACCCCTGTGGCCGAGGTTTGGGATTCCCAGCTCAGTCCATGAAGACTCCACATGTGGATTGGGATTTCGGTCCTTGTACTTAATTCCATGGATTTTACTGCCAAAATAGTTTTGCGGCTTTTTCCTCCCTCTAAAACTGTGACTGCTCATTGTCTCCTCCCTACAGGTTTCTGCAGGCTTGTGAGCTGCAGTGCCCAAAGCGCTTTGAGGCCTTCCAGTTTCATTACTAGAAATGCTTTATAATAATAAGATCATTCCACTATTCTGGTAAGCAAAGACGAGTTTATATACAGGCTCTTATCCAAACAATTATGGTTACAGCTACAAAACTTCCCACTGACCCCCGTTTTACTCCCAGCCAGAAGACGTTGCTTCAGACGTAGCCATCTGTCTTTGTACGGTTGTATGGGGCAGACTAACTACAGAATCTCTCTCTGAAGACAATCACAACTTAAGCAAAAAACTTGCAGAAGTTTCCTTTGACATATTGGTGCTGGCAAGAAAACAGACCTCTTCCACCTCCAGATAAACGGGGGGGGGGGGGGGAATAAAGACCCAACCAAGTAACTGTAGGCTAAGATGGCAGTAAGAAATACAGGTCTTACATTTTAAATATAAACAAAAATTGAATGTAGAATACTGCTTTGTTTCGAAGTGAAAATTCACGCAAGACCAACTAAATGCTCAGAATGTAGATGACGAGCCTAGCTGCTCACATCAAAATCCATTCAGAAATACTGAAGAAAAACTCCACAAATATAAACTTGCACAATTACATTATGAAACTTTGGAATATACAAAAAAAATCACACTGTACATGCATGCAACAAAATCTTATTAGGAATTACTTTGTATATGAAGAATGCATACGGCGACCAAGTTTTATGCTGGTATCCATGGGTGTCTGGAAAGGCTGCACATCCAATAGCAAATCCTAACTTAACATGTCCAGCTACCACTGTGTACATTGAGTATAAAACAAAATCTTTATCTAATGCATAAAAAGTGATTGACTGGCTCTCGTTTTTGAATTTATTCAAAATGTATTGGCTATCTCCTTAACTAACAATTACAAAAAGCGCTTGATACAGTGCAAACAATTGCAAAGGATATTGCCACTTTCAAGAGCAATACCAGGTGTTGGCACTTATGTCCAATATAAAAAATGACACAGACTTCTACACAACTTAATTCGTCCAATTTACTTAAACGAAGACTAATGTGTCTTGTAAATGATAAAAAAAGAAAACAAAATAAAATTGTTAATACCCTTAGAACATGTCGGAATAACCCTTACAAACAAAATAGGTGGAGAAAAGCTGTATCAACCATTTCGTGCCCTCTGTTGATTGAAAAACTGAGTGACAGGCTCATTTATCACACATAGCATTACTGCAGTACCAGTCAGTAGTAAGAAGCCAAACACAGTGTCGTTAGTTAGAGAAAACCTCCATATAGTGGACTACGCTTTGCACTATTACAAAACAACATACCCTTCTACAAGGGACTATTTATGCGTATCTAACAGTGTGAAGTATATTCAAGACATACTCACTGATTTCTGTATAACAAATCTGCATGGCTTGTTAGGTTCACACTTGAATCTATGGCCTGGTTTCTGATCACCCATAGAAATGTGCAGAGGGAACCAGACTCGATCACTCCCATCCTGGAAAAAAATCTGCACAAATCTATTGTTTGTGCAGTGAGGGACCCTGTGACTTCACTTTCTACAGCCAATGATCTATCTGGTTTTTGTTTTACATGGAGATTGATGGACCTGCCACAATTTGACCAACAGAGGGCGCTTTCGGTACTCATGACACAGAAAAGTCAACCCCCTTACCGCTGCTAAATCGCAGTCAGATACTGGCGCTGGTTCTCCGTCAGATCTGGATGCCACAGGTCGACAATGAGGATAAGGCGGACTGACTTGGCCTCCTGCCAGACCTCGTGCTCGAAAGAGTCATCAAAGATTATGAGCTTGCCTTCTTGCCACGTCCTATGGGAAGAGCGAGACAGTTTCTCCTTTTTCAATTCCTCAACAGAATTGGCGCATACAAACTTACACAGAATTCTACAAAACAGCATGTGTAAGCAAATAATCATTTACTTTCTGTACTCTGAACACCAGTGTCCCCTTGCCGAACACAAAAAACAGAGATGTGGCAGACATCTGAATCCGCCTCTGATAAAAATTGGCAAACAGACTAAAATTTAGTCAGGTGCAGTTTGCCCCATACAAGCAACAAACCAGTGCATGAAAGCAGGGTGTCTTATACACTGGAGCTCCTACGAGTGGTCACGTGGCACCATGCATTTTTCCGGCCTGGAGCAACTCAATGTGGTTCTGAAAATTTTATTTTAAAAATCTTTAACTGTAAAACATGGACAGTTGAGGATAACGTTGAGAAATGTGATATATATGAGCACTGTGGTTCTGGCTGCCTCTGTCAAACAGAAATGTCAGAAAGACAGAAATATATCGTCACCACCGCCACGAAGTGTCGCTAATGTCGCTTTTGAGGAAATATAGGTTTTCAAGATAATCGCCAGAGAAGTTCTTCCTTTATAAAAAAAATACCAAAATTAGTTCATCACTCATTTAACTCAAGTAATTAGTTTGGAAACAGGGGTTAATTAGCCAAAATTAATTAGCCAAAGGTTAACGGCAGTTCTTGAGAGTGAAAACTACATTTTTGTACATGAAAGTCCTGTTCAATGTAAGCCTACAATAATTACAGGGAAAGTGGTCGTGTCTTTACGTGTGCACAACTGTGAATGTAACATAGCTGACGTCACTTCGTGAAAACGAAAATCCCGGTTGACCTACTTTTCAGCCATTTCCTTCCAATACGTTTTGTACATGTTCAAAGGATGTTAAGCACTGCATCTCTTCATCAAACGCAAAATGCTGTTTTCAAGATGTTTGACCTTGACAACATTAATGTACCTCTGACATTAATGATGTTTTTTTTGTGGGAGCATGTCAAAATGGTCAAGAAGGATGTAGTAAACGAGAATATTGAAAAAAAATGGAAATCAACAAAAATTCATTTTTTGGACATTAGCCTCACTTCGTGAGAACGGTGACGATATGTCAGGCAGCTCATTCTTGCAATGATACTCACCGTGTCTCGTTGGCAACGCGTATCCTGACCCCTTCAGGAATGACGAGGCCCAGATGGGCCCGTAGCCGGCAGTTTGTGGGTCCACAGTGTGGCCAAACATGGGTGCCCGGGTGCATCACCGAAAACTTCACCTGGAGAGAGACAGAACGTTGGAGAAATCTGGATGGTAATAACCACAAAGTTCGGTGCTGTTTGAAGCTTTTCATGATGGGAGTGGCATACAGAGTATTGTTTGCAGATACCATGCCAACAATTTTTTTTTGGAAAAGAGTTTTGGCTTTGAGGTCTGGCATTTTGAATAGTGAATTCTGTTCGTTAGCAAGAAATTGATCGCCATTTCAATTGGCCCTAAACCATGAGAAAGCCTCATAGATAATTTTGTCGTGCCTTTTACGGTAGAATTACAATAATCACAACAAGTTTGCCAAAGAAAAGGTCTGAACATGTAAAAGGGGCTGCCAACTCCAACACTGGGCACGAGACTCGCACATTTTGCGACAATTTCCAGTTCTCACGCACGAGCATTTTCAAGACAAATAGTTTCAATTTTTTTCAAACGGTGAAAGTAAAGATGGGGTTCACATTTGCCACATTTCCCTGGATCATTGTTTAATGCAACTGTTGCATTCCTGCAGCAATCCCTTTATGATCAACAAAGACAGTTTGCCATGTGAGCATACTGAAATTGCCTGTTGACAGACAGGCATATCACCTCTGGCAAATTTCTCATCCAAACTTTCCAGGCAGTGTTGGCAACCTCGTCAGTTTGATTTCTGTCCCAAAAGCTTGTTATGTTAAACATACCTGCCCTCGTCTGCAGCCACTGGATTCAGTAATGGGCTGAATTAATGCACAAGTCTTTGGGGCTTTCTTGCAGTTAGAATCTACCTTACGACCTGTGCATGAACAAAATTCCCAAAGAACACAAAAAGAAACAAGATTTTAAAAAACTCTTGGGCTAGAAACATAAAAAGCTGGCTTAAGTTTGAATGGGCCTATGTACCCTCTTATAGCAAACAGGCAACCTCATAAATAGTGCCTGCATGTTTATAACCCTCCTGAGGGTCTTTGCAAAGTGGCAAGGCAGAGGCAGACGTAGAAGTCCTTTCTTATAATAAGACTGCCAGTACCAACAATTTCCAATTCTCGACACTGTGGCTCAGAAGTGCTACAAAGAAACAGGACCCCTACCATTTTTTGGTGAATGACTTCACGCTTATCTGGATTACTTGAAGCGACAAATACATTCAAAGAGGATACAGGTGAGTCTTTGTCAAGTTTTCACATGTCTATCACAAGTCCTCACAAGCCCATCACAGGTCCTCACATGCAAGCCACTCTAAGGTCAACTCAAAAGGTATTCAAATGAACTGTGACAAGGGCATTCCTTTTTAATCCTTTAGCAATGTTAAACCCTGGTGCTCAAAAAAACATGTACCCAAACCTAGACTACATTAATTTTTTCTGAGCTTTACCCTGTTGGAACATAGTAAACTGTTTCCAGTCTCCAGTACTCCTAAGATTCTCATCTTCTGGAGCAAACGTTTCCGTCTCCTTGTCTAGGAGAGCCAGCCCTTCATCCCGGATCGTCTCCCAGTTGTCCTCTAATTTCTACACAATTGTAAAAAAAGAAACAAAAATATGTAAAAGCATGTCCAACAAATTCTGGTCCTGGCACACTATGTCCTAGGCACTGGGTAACAAATGACAAATATTTGACAAATAGACATTGCTTATCATCCATAATATTTCAAGCAACACTCAAACATTTACTGTCAACTGCACAAGAATGCATAGTGCAATTAGTTCAATACTCAGGCTGCATCCGAATCTCTTGTCTAGAGCTAGGTCTAGGTCTTCGCTCCATTGGAAATGCGTGGAGACGCGTAGACAATAGACCTAGCCGTAGCTCTGGAAGCCCGTTTCGGACACGGCCTCAGCCTCCCTAATGATTGAAAGACTTTTGAGAATTTAGGAAGAGAGAGCCTAGCCACTATTACCACACATGAGATGTGTTCACCTTCAAAAGTTTACAGAGTAAAGAATGTGCCACAAGTTTCCTTCACAGTGTGGAAAATTTGGACTGTACTGTCTTAAATTATTTTGTAACATGTAATTCTGATGTCTAAAAATCAACTGGGATTGTGGGCATCAGGAAGGCATCAGGAATAATGAGAGACTTATTTGCCTAAAACCAAAAAATGTCTCTGGGAACTTCAGACTCATTTTACTGGGTCACGTCATGTATGGTCTAGGAGTTTTGTACACTCAGGAGGCATAACTAAATACCACGGGTCATTTAATACAAGGCGCCAATTACTGCATAGACGTACAAACACTGCACAGCTCATTTAAAACATTATGGCACTGCAGCTTCAGTGTCTGTATTATAAAATATCAGTGATTGGTACCTTGGTGGCCTCTGTGTACTTGGCCTGCTCATCAGTCCACCAGGGCCTGGCGGTCAGCTTGTCCACATTGTAGATGGACCGCTGGTAACGGGAGGTGAAGTGACCCTTCTCGGCTCCTTGGTCATAGACTTGGTATGCCTTGTGGGAGTGAGAAAACGAAACAAAATTCATTCATTCTAACACATTATGCACTTAAGAAATGGGATATGGTTGCAAGAAGGTGAGTGCAGTCAGCCAAAAAACAGCCAAAATTTTCTTGGCAAACAATCTGCATTTCTACATTTCTTGTATGCTACTTTGCATCAATACTGAAACATCAATAATGAAACATCTGTCACAAAACCCACAATGGTTTTGAAAACATGCAATGTGTAATCGAAGGAAATGAATGTAAAACAGTGTGCCTTCAGCACAAATTTGAAATCCAAAGTATTCTGAGAAAGCATAAAAAGAACACAGGTCTGAATTCCAAACATGATGTTGAAGAAGGCAATGCCAGATTTGGTGGGTGGTACTTTTCTCTCCTTCCAACATGGGTGTACCTAGTTCGAATTCCACCTGGTATATCCAGTGGATTGGATCTGTCAGATCCTGCTTCAAGAAATTCCACATGCTCCCCCAAAAGGATATCATGTGACAGCTATACCTCGTCCGACTGTCCCGTTCTGAAAAGAGCGTCTCCGAGATGCACATAGTACTTCCCCTCGTTGGTGCCTTCCTCACCCGAGGATATCCCCTCCCGCAGCAATGGAATAGCCTCCTTGAAATTGTTCTCTGCCTTCAGAATGAAGCCCATGTGGACCTTTGCAAATCCATCGGAGGGGCTGAGCTTCAGGACCTGTAAAATGAGAGGTGTGAGAAGAGCAGGAAAAGATGAACTTGCAAGCCACTAAAAATGCCGTATACCATCTTCAAGCACATGGGGCTGCTCACATCACCAATTTACACTTCAATGAATGAGCTGCAAAAAAAATTTCATATAAGCTGAAATTTTGCACGTCTAGAAAATTGATGAGATTTATTGGTTACAATGAAATTAAATTTTTAAATATGCTGACTGAAAAAATGTTAGAGTGAAAGTTTCAGTCCACAAATGTAACTTCAAGAGTGTAAACATCCACTGTAAATCAAAGCACATTACATCTGAGTGTTAGACATAGATATATAGATTACTCATGCACGGATAGCACAAATTGTTGATTTTAAGATGTTCCAATGCTAGCAACAGACACAGGGAAACACTTCTGCATGATTTCTGACAGGCTTCAAATTTCCCGACGGCAGCGACGGCCATGGCTGTCGATGCCCTTCCATTTGGCCATGAGCTTGTTTCACCGCCAAGATGGCAGCGCCCTTTTTTCTCTTGGACGTAGTGCCTTACATGTGCATATAGACTGCCCCTGTTCAGCGAGGTACACAGAAAGCGGCATGGAAAGCGACATACACATCATTCCCAGATCGCTCACATTCGATCCGAGCACTGCGCCACGCCACCCAAATGTATGGCATGCATGCATATACAGGTTGTACCTGCACTGTGTGTATAATGGGGATATCAAACACTCAGCCTGCGTGCACCGTCGGCCCGGCCTGCTCCATGCACACTGCACGATCGCAAGTGCGGCACAGATGACACCCGCCGGCCTATCGAATGACTTAACATAACAGCGCAAGCCCAAGCCAAGCATTTTAATGTACCATGCAATAAAGTTAGTCTAGAACTAAGTGCTCATCAACATCTACGTGTTCATGATACATCGAGAGCTCCATGTTTTTCATGCACACGGGACAATTGTATGGTCATGGCAGTATTTTAACTAACACCGAAATGTAGTGTTTGCAGTTTAGTGCCACGCGGCGTGTGTGATCCGAACTGTACATACACGACACCTGTTGATCGGGACTACCCTGATTAATTCTCACGTACGTTGTTGTGTGCAAAACCACTGGCCTGGCCAGATTTTGTGAAAACTGTGGTGCGCAAAAGGTCGAGGAAAGAACGTCTGCAGTCAAAACAGGCCAAAGCCTTTCAACACTCGGCTGCTGGTTCGGCACTTATCACGGACATGTTCAGGTGTAATGCATATTATACTTTTTCTTAGACCTGAATCATTTTCATGCAATATAAAAAAAAAACAGGATGGCATTAATGCCCTCATGTTTGGCATTAGTGCCCTTTATTTCAGCCAGTCCACCAATGCCAAATGGCAGTGCCCTAAAAAAAAAATGAAATTCAAGGCCTGTTCTGATATAAATTCAAAGCAAGTCTCAAGAATAATTTCACAACCCAAGAAACCCATTAGTTTTTTAAAATACACCTACCTCTTGGAAGATGGGCTTGGCCCGAATGTTCTTCCCTGCAATGAGGAGTGCCACGCCAAGGTCCTTCTTGAGCTGGATGTCAGAAGGGAACAAGATGGTACCTTCCTGAAGGACCCGTGCTGCCTGCAATGCCTTCCCTGTCAAGATGAAGACAGGCGTTTCCATGAAGTTGGGGAAACTTTGTGATATTTGAGATAATTCTAGATTACACACAAGGGGTAATTTTTGAGAGCTACTATAAAACTGAAGGTTATGATGTTCATTACAATTACTTTTTAAAGTCTCTTGAGAATCACCTGATCACTTTTTTCTTTATGTCAAGGAGCGTCTGCACATTACTCACCCTTAACATTTTTAAAGGTACTGACACCACACAAGTTTTACCTGGTTTGGTCACCCTGGAATTTTTTGTACCTGCTTTCTGTAAAATACCCTCCCCCATAGAGCACAGAAGTTTTCTGAGCAACATTTTCTGCTACCCAGCTCTATAACATTGGTCCCTGCACGAAGATTCATGCCGCAAAGAAGGCCAACCATGTCAAAATCATCTGGCTGTGGCTAGTAGTAACACACAGGCTTTTGGGAAGTAGCTGCAGCCACAAGCCTGTGGTTTCCATAGGCATTCGTGTTATTTCCAGCCACAGCCTTAACATTCAGATGTCATCAAAGATTCAGCAAGGCTCAACTTACCGAGGAAGGTGAGTCGGTCAGCCTGACGAGACAGGGCTAATTTCTTCAGCATCAGAGGGCAGCCTGGAGCATTAACAACCTCCCCGTAGGCAATGGTAGCCCTGGATTCGGTAGAGAAAAGAAAGTAGTGTAACCAACGATCAACAAATGTGGCAGACAGCACCTACGATTACAAGCACAAATTCACCAAATTCAAAGCAAAGTATTGGCCATCAATTAATTACTGGAGTTTGGCAGGCTGCAAGTTATTCCTGGATTCATATGAACTCCTTGAAAATAACAGACCCAGTCATTCTGAAATGTTAGCAGTAGAGCTCTCAATTGAATGTGATTCTGTGCTTTTTCAAGAGACTGACTTTCTCCACGCAGGAACAAGAGATGGTGCATGTTTACATAGTAACAATGTCCTTTTGGTGGGAACTCACAGTGTGGCTGCACAGGTTAACCCATATTTAGCACAGGACAATTAAGCTGACCAGGGATGACCAATTTCAGTTGGAATGTATGTTGTTTTGGGGTGCATGAGCCCAACTCAAAAACAGCCCACCAGCCCATCTCTTGTCTGCTGGTGAAGGGATGCATTCAGTCCAAGTGAAACAACTATTAGCAACAATATCTTCTAGGCAACACACCACCTGCATGTGCTTGTTTGAAGAAGCTAAGCATAGGCCACGCACCAGCTGTGTCTCTGTTTGAAAAGCAAGTGCAGTTTAGCACCTATCCGATGTGAGCGAGTTTTGCTATCCGAATGGTGTGATTCCAGTATTCAAGGCCTCTGCTAAAACTGGATTCATGTTCCAGAACCTGCATTTGGTGACAATTTACTGGGAGGGAGAGGGGGATGGGAAGGAGTGAGCAGGCTCCACTTACGCATTCAGGATCTCATTACTGCGTCGTTGTTCTGAGAGCATGTCCAACGACCTAGCTCTGCCATATCGGGCATGAGGGCTATTCGAGTGATTCTCCAGGAGCTTCTCAAACTTGCGAAGAGCCCTCTGAATTTCCTTCTGCAAGGAACAAAAAGGTGAACTATACTGAGGTCAAACGAAATATATGTTAGCAGACGACCTGAATCAAAGGTGCGGTTTCCCCTTCGATGGACTGGCCTCCAACAACCGCATCAACTGGTTGAAACAAAATGGTACACCCAACAATCAAAGTGGATTTTCCTCAAGGTTCACCCTCGCTCCCCCCTCCCCGCTAGCACCCTTTTCCACTTTTCCTTCCAATTTTCCTGGGGACCACTTGATAAGTTTGTGGGCCTTATCCTTGGTCAACAAACCCCTCCTCTGGGAATAGATTATTAAAGACAAAGAGAGGGAAGGATTCACTGACCTTCTCCAACAGTTCTTCAGCTTCGTGAAGTTCTGACGCGATTTTCATGTCAGCTGCAGTAAAGGCATCACCAGCATCTGTCTCCTCTGTCTTTGGTTTGTCAGGAGTCTCTTTGGTCAATTCCTCTTTGGGCTCTTCTTTCACGGGTTCTTCTTGTTTGGACTCCACTTTTGGTGGCTCAGCTTGTTTAGCATGCTCTTTGCTTGCTTCTGATTTTGACGCTGATTCTGTCTTGGCAGCTGGTTTCGGGGGTTCTACCTTTGAAGATGATTCTTCTTTTGGTTCTTTCTCGGGTTCTCCCTGTTCGGGAGCTTCTGTCTTGGGCTCTTCCTTATTGAGATTTTCCTTTTTGCGCTCCTCTTGTTTGGGCACTTCTTTTCTAGGTGCTTCCTTCTTGGGGTCTTCTTGTTTGGGTGCTTCCTTCTTGGGTTCTTCCTGTCTGGGTGCTTCCTTCTTTGGCACTTCTTGTTTGGGTACTTCCTTCTTGGGTTCATCTTGTTTAGGTGCTTCAATCTTGGGTTCATCTTGTTTG